CAAGGGTTTCAATGATTTCAAGGGTTTCAAGGGTTTCAAGGGTTTCAATGGTTTCAAGGGTTTCAATGGTTTCAAGGGTTTTAAATAGGGCCTGACACAAAACCTGTCTAGACCGTGGGATGCGCTCACATGTTATTTTTAGACACAGCATGCAATATGATTGACAAGTGTTATAGATTTCGTTACACAAAAAAGATCGTGACTAAAACACCACACGAGTTCATACGAGTACATACGAGTAACATGCGAGTACATACGAGTAACATGCGAGTACATACGAGTAACACACGAGTACATACGAGTAAAACACAAGTACATACGAGTAGAATACGAGTAAAATACGACTAGTAAACTTGTTTTTAGTGTTTGTAGATTGAATACAGGCAAAAAGATCGTCTTTTCTGTCGAAAAACGTGAAATAGACTGAAACCGGCTATCTTTAAAACCCGGAACGGGGAATGGGGAGACGGGGAATGGGAGAACGGGAAGTGGGGGAACGGAGGGAATGGAGGGGCGAGGGAGAAAATAGGAGACAGGGGGCGGGGGAGGTCTGCCAGATTCTATAAACCACAACTTTGTAGTTTGTACAACATCTACTTTTAGGTATTCTACCTAGATAGTTAGATAGATGACACAAACCATAGGCTTCACATATTTCACGGCATGGTTTATTGGTTTGCTTTCAAAACCCTGTGAGCATACACAAAACCTAACTCACTAACTGCATCTATATAAATAGTTGTCGAATAAAGCTCAATATTTTGGACACAAAAATGTAAACAAAGACTTTGTTTACATACGGACTGTAGATCACCTTTAACAATAATTTATCCATTACTTAATATTAAAGGGGGATACCAATGGCCGTGGGTCACGTGTGTGGCCGACATACCGCGAATGAATAGGGGGGTCTGATCTGGAGGCATTAACTCCCCAGAAAATTTTTGAAATTTCAAGCCCAAAAATGCCATTTCCTGCCGTCTGAGCATCTAAATTTTCTAGAATTTATCCTAACTATACTTCTATTTAAAATAAAAGAAGGAAAAAACACACAAAGAATTTAAAAAATATTAACAATAATTTATCATTACTTAGTGTTAGAAACACGTAGGATGCCACGCGGTGACACTGTCCTTTAAATCGATTTTGTTAAACAAGGACAAAGGATAAAGCCTAAAACGTATGTTCCGTTTATCAATTTGTTATTCTTCGCTGGTTTGTTTCTATAAATTTAGGAAAAAGGGACTTTTCCCGGGGGGGGGGGCAAAATGTGATTTCGTGGGGGGGGCCCAAGGAGAGACTGGGGGCAAATGCCCCCCTCCAGCTTGTATGTTAAAAAGGCCCTGCAGGACAAATCCAGTTTTCAAGTGAGCCTCAGAACGTGCATTTTCATTTCCGATCAGCCTGCATCAGAGCAAAGTATCCAAGCTTTCTTGGCAACGTTCTCGTTCCTCCAGACTTTCCTCCCCTTCTCAAGGTGGAGCACGTCCAAAGGCTTGCAGGAGAGTTCGGCTGGGTCCTTTAGAAACGAACTTGCCAACTTAAATTGCTAACTTAAAATCTGCGTATTTTGAAGTATTTTGTGTTTTGTTAGTTTTGCTTTGTCGGATATTTAAAATAGGATAATCACTTTAAGATATCATATGGAGCATAAGGACCGCTTTGGGCTTGCATCTAGTCCTTAAGTTTGTTTTATTATATAGCAAGTATATTAGTAATGACATAAGCAATGTTATTATTATTAATATTACTGAATGATCGGACATAAGCAATGTGGATTGACTTTTTTATGATACGCTGTACTAATAAAGGAAAGCTTCGCTAAATTTCTTTGCTAGTTTTAATTCATTGAGCGGTTTTCTAATTCCCAAGACACCAGAGTCCGTTTTATAGTTTCGTAATTCCCTGATTCCCGTTTATCCTGTCGAATTTCTGTTTCTTTTTTTCTGTTCTTTTCCCCCCGTACATATGATTAATATTACGTATTAATAATAATTCGTAATTGCTCGATTCCCCCCCCCCCCGTTACTCGTTCCTCCATTCCCCGTTCCCTCCATTCCCTGTTCCTCCATTCCCCGTTCTCCCATTCCGCGTTTTTCGACAGAAAAGACGATCTTTTTGCCTGTATTCAATCTACAAATACTAAAAACAAGTTTACTAGTCGTATTTTACTCGTATGTACCACTGAGCTATACTATATTACTGGAGGACCTGCTCGGCATGAAAGAGTGTCGCCAAAAACATGGCGGCGCTTACGCCATTGCCATGACTACTGGTCCGAAGTCTCCATGGTAATTGCCACTGACCAACCGCGATCCGAAGCATTAAACAAAGTCCTGCACCCCCCTGTTTTTACACAAATATTTCAGAATTTAGAGCTGTTTTCGGGTGTTTTTGAGCTAGAAAATCTTTTCCTCGCACTTTACTTGTTTTACGATGTGGAGGAAAAGTGCCGTTTTGTTCCGTTTGTTGATGCAAGAATTCACTATCAAGAAAGATTAACTATTCTTTCAGGTAAGATTCATGAAACTATTTTTACTTTGTAGAACCTTGCTAGATATAAAATGACTCTCGAAATGAGTCAAATGACTATATTAGTACTAGAAGTTACTATCGCAAGGAAAATGCTGCCTCAACTCGCCTTCCATCACACAAGCAAGTAAAGCACACCCCTAAAGCCGGTTTTCCACTTCAAACGTATCGTACCGTAACATTTTTTTGTGTCGAAATCATTAGTTCCACTCCTGCGGTCAGGAAACAAAGAAATATGCTACGTTTCACTACAATACGGTTGAAGTGGAAAACCGACTTAAGGCACTTGTTCAAGAGGTAGGAAAAGTGCAATTTGAACACGAAAACACCTTGCACAAAGTCAACGGTCAGCTAAATATTCTAATCCTATTGACTTCCACAAACTCCTTACTCTTCAAGAAATTACTTCCTTGAAAATTCCTTCATTCTAAAAAAAGACTAAGGACTTTGTCAAAGTCTACAGGTCATGCTATGCAAGTTTTTAATGATTTGAATTATTGAAATAGATGCAGGTTTATTAATATTAGCATAGCATGACCTGATGACCAGTTGTCATGGCTAGCTTGCCACTGGCACTGAATACTGTAGTACTGTACATTATCATGTATAACAAACAATAATAATACTTGAATGAATCATTGGATATGTAGAGGTTAGCAAGAAAACTTTTCGACAAGTTTACAAGAAAGATCTCGCCTGGTATGAACATAACATGAAAAGTTACACTGCATTCATATGAGACAACAAGTTTTCCCATGTACTGAGATCTCGCTTGTTGACAGGCAATATCTCTGCAGGCCTTTAGCCAAGGTCCTAAAAGAGGGCGTCCAATTTTGGTACAACAATACATCTACAGTAAAGAGGTGGGGCAGGGGTCGAGAAAACGTTCTTCTGGAAAACCTTTGAAGTTTACGTTACTTCATATCAGTATCTGTTCCAAGCCCATTCGAAATTTTCCACTTGGCTTTGTGAGTACTGAGTTTGTGCCGCCATGCTTCTTTACTTAACTACCGTAAACTTCCGAATATAAGCCCCCCCCCCCCCTCCGAATATAAGCCCCCTATGTATAAGCCCACCACATGTACTAACGCTCACCTCATTCCAAATATAAGCGCCCTCACTGAATATAAGCCCCCTCCCCGAATATAAGCCCACCAGAATATAAGCCCACTTGTTTATCACTATTACCACTATTATACATTACTATGCTTAACACTTGTTTATCATTATTACTATACTTGTTTATCACTATTACACTAACACAAAAGATTTTCCATGTATATGCCCCCTCTGCCCCCAGTATATAAGCCCACCCTTGTATAAGCCCATCAAAAATCGCTTACAAAAGAATATAAGCCCATGGCTTATAGTCTGAGGTTTACGGTACGACATTTTCATTCAGCCAGGTACACCATCAAATTGATCAAAATGTCAAATGTATAATCATAATGAGAATTGAAGCTATTTCGTTTCGGATATATTAATATACTTAAGGAAATAATTGAAAATAATTTCCCTTTTTCCCCAGAATTTGGGCGTCCAAAGGCATCCATGTTTTGTTCTAGGGGCATCCCAGGATGCCTGGATGCCTTTCTGGCTAAAAGCCTGGATCTTGGTGACTGGGATAATGGTTTTCCCATGAACACAACTTTCCCACTTAACAGGATAACTTTTTGTCGTGTCAGCAACTATTCAATTCATGTTCAGTGCTATGTCACAACCAGCAACTTTATCCGGTAAGTGGGATAAAGTTTCTCCATGTGAACAGAACAAAAGTATTTGGCTAGTCGAAAACTTTTCTCGTTAACCGGGATAAGTTTTTCCCTATGAACAGGTTTCCCTAAGTCAGTTTTTGTCCCAGTTATTGCTTCAATGGCACCTTCATGGCTACCCTTACGGCAGAACAACTTGAACAATCTGCCGATGGGAAGACAAAATCTATTTTGTTGACATTTTTGTTTAATACGTCAACTTTAGATGACACCATCCATTTGTAATGACCAAGACCGTACTCAGTCAGAACTGCAAAACTGTATAATAAGAAAGAAATTGTGAGCATTATCGTATACAATTGTGTGTTCCAATGCAGGCATTATACTGCTCAATTGACCTTATGCCTAATGACATCACAAGGTTTGATGCCCACGAGGAATGCTGGTCTACCGTCTTGTAGTCATTGCCCAGGAAAATAAAACAATTCAAAATGGCCACCATTGAAATTTTCCCAGGTGATGACTACTAAGACCAGCATTCCTCGCAAGCATCACACCACAAAATAAATAATAAGACCAGAAGTCTCACTCGATGTCGGAATCTTTGATGTTGATGTCCCCGCGCATGTCGGCTCGCGCATCTTGGCCGCGTCTCGTTTCCAGTGCCCTAAACAAGTGTAATTTGACAAATTTACATGTAAACATTAAGGAGTGAGGAAGTTAAAACGATACCAATCGAGTTTTAGAGCTTTGGAGACCATTTTAAAAGAATATATGATAAATTCAAAGGTAAGTCTATCGTATTGCATTGTCTTAAATGAATTCTCAGCTAAAATACGGCAATAAATGGATCATAAATTTAGTTAAATTCACTGTTGACAACGAGGTTGGACAGATCCAATGATTTTTTTCCTTGAATAGCTTTACCACAGTCATTTTACCTTAAAATGTAGATACCGAGGATATCTCTAAGAGATTTTACACAGATTATTTGCACAATCTCACGATTTAATCATGCTGATAACATGAAAATCCTTGTGCCATTGTATACTTGGCATAATCTCCACATCAATAGTTCACCAGTTCAACACTTATAAGTTATAAATTCAATATATTTTTGAACCAGTCCATATATTATTATACACAATGTAGTATAGTTAATTTGACCATTGAGAAGTAAGGGTGTATTACATTACACAGACACTGCTGAATTTTAGGTTACATACCATTGGATTGATATTTCTCAAATTCATTAATAATTCATGAGTAATTCAGCCAATGATAATCACCTATTTGATCACAAGATGCCATTTGGATAACCCGGTGAAACTTGATGAAAGTCACTAGTGTTTTCATCAAATATCTTAATTACGCATGCAAAATTACTTGAATAGAATTCCTAATTACGTTATGCTTGGTTAAGAATTCTATTCAAATCAGCAAACCAAAACATTCTGTTACGTCTCGATTCATTTGAGAAGCCATATAAACAACTCGAGCTCGTGTCTCACCGGGATATCCAAACACTCGAAAACAATGTATGAAAACACTCGCGCTTCGCGCTCGTGTTCTCATACATTGTTTTCTCGTGTTTGGATATCCCGGTGAAACACTCACTGTCGTTGTTCATATATTACATAAAAACATTTGTAAAAACACACATTATCTTGTTGATAGAATAGTTATTTGCAGTATACTAACTGTTGGCATACTCTATTTCAGGCCTATCAATTGTTTTTGTCACTGGCAATCTTTGAAATACAATCTTGCTCTGTGACCTTTACTGACAAGTTGGCTTTTACTACATATGTGGCACTGACACCTCTTTAATTAATGCACCAGTCAATGTAAACCCCCAACCGGGGAGGGGCAGGGATTTTGACTTGGAGGGGTAGTAAAAGAGCAAAATTGTCCCGCCCCCAGGGACATCAATGTCCCCTGCATGTCTCTCAACCGCGGGAAAATAGTTTTGTATAATCATAGATCAGCAATAGAAAATCAAATTCATTTATGTTGTATTTAAACTTTTCTTGTCAAGAAAACTAAAACAGCAACACAGGATATATATATTAACCACCGTCCAAGTCTCCCATCATCGGGGCAAATTTATAATCAAAACGGACCACTTTCCCTACTAAACCTCCCGCCCCTCCCCGGTTGGGGGCAGGGTTTACATTGACTGGTGCATAACTAGATGATTGCATGAAAGTTGATTTAGTAATATGTATAATTAGTTTATGAATAAACTCGCACTTTCATTGTAGAGGTTAAGATTTGAGTTCTACTAGCACTATCTCTGACTGCCTTAGTATGCATCTGATTGGTTATAATGGTTGATCGAATATATCAAATGCATTTGATGGTCCCTGAATGGTAATGGTAGTCAAATCTGAACCTCTATAATGTCAATGAAGAATGCATACTGGAAAAGTATCAAATTAAATTTTAATTGTCAATGTTGTGGAAAGTAAATAAATCAAACAATTCTGTTTGTCTCAACTAACTAGTTCACTATCACTTTGGTTTTCAAATCAAAGAATCTTTAGCCTGGTTGAGCTTTTGAAAAAGTAGCTACTTTAGTGAACCCAAGATTATTTTACTCTGTCTATCACCAGACAATTTCACTCGTCAAGGGGAAAGTGCTGCCATTCAGTGAACTCAATCAGAGCTCAATGAGCAGCAGCACTCTCCCTCGATAAGTAAAATCATCTGGCATTAGATGAAGTGAAATAAACTAGTAAAGTAGGGTGCATTGGGGCACAATGCAGCTTACTGGGTTAACTGGAAAATATATTTATTTAAACAATACACACCCTATACTTGTATTTCAATTCATAGCATGATTTGGTATGCTTATGTCTATTTGACCCAAGTACCAGACAGGAATGATATTTGAATCACACCTGTATTCATTGAACAAAGCTAATTTAAATGTACATTAATTGTACATGAATCATGTAGATGTAAAAACTAGAGCAAAAACACACCCACACAGCTTTTTTTTTTATTTTTCTTGAGAAGGAATAACTGAGTTACAATGAGACCAGTATCAACAATTTTAAAAAGGTATTGTACAAAAATATTACAAACATAAGACACTTTAAAGACAGAAAACACACAAAGTATGTCACTACAGAAACTGTATTCTGTGATATAGACGATATTGCTTTAAGGAAACTTGCAGCTTTTAAGGGCCTGTTTATATCGAAACTGGCTGGCCCGCTAAGTGAGACAGCCCGGTAAGTGAGATCTCGCTGTCTACTTATTTTTATAGTAAAAATTATAATTAAAATTGTTTCTATGTACAAGCGGGAGGCCCTGTTGCAGAGACCAGGATGGAAATTTCTCCATATAAACAATCACAAGCAGGCTAGCCCAGTTGCCAGGATGAAAGTTCAACGATACTGCCGCAAGCTATTTTTAACAACTGTCAAAACAACAAAATTGTCCCGGTAAGCAGGATGAAATTTTCTCAAATAAACACAAGAGAAATCATCCTGCGTATCTACCTTACCGGGCTGTCTCGCTAAGCGGGCCAGCCCGGCTTCCATACAAACAGCCCCTAACAGTCTCTGTCAGGCAATTACAATGTTCTAATGTCCAAACTCTAAAGTATTATAAACAAGCAGGAAAGACCACTTATTGCAAGTTGCTAGTATTAAAGTCATCAACATGTGATATCGACATTACAGTGTAAAAACTAAAGTAATTCAGCTTCTACACATGAAGCAACTTTAAACACTATCCTTACACTTTATCAATTCATTGAAGTTTGTCATTCTATTTGTAGTATTACATCACAAGACATATTCTATTTGTAGTATCAAGTCACATCAGGATTTTATAATCTAGCGTTTTTGGACCCAAGTGATCTAGAGTTCTATCTTGTTAAAACCTATCCAAGGAAAAACAAGAAAGGGATATTGAAGTAATGGTGCTTTTGAGCCAAATAAATTCGAATATCCACCAGTATAAAAGCAGTACTCCGTATATACTCGAGACAAAATGGCATCATAGCGAACACATTTTAATGATGCTCAAATTTATATTTAGTGCGCTATTTTCTTTAAAATATGACCCTGTTTGCTTTCTAAATACAACAAAATTACTGCTTTACCTTCTGTTCAAATAGTTCCACAAATAAATCGAAGTCACATTTCGTACTACTTGAAAAAAAGCTGTTTTTACTGTAGGAATGACAACTTCCCAATATAATTTTCTATTGTCAACATTGCATTACACTTGTTTAGCTCGCGCATGCGCAATAAAAAAGATGGGACATGTTTCCGCTTGAGTAAGACTTCTGGTATTATCTCTTCTGTGTTAAGGCGGTTTTCCAGTCCTCGCACGAAGCTCCTCGCAGCTCGCTGCGAGTGCTTGCATCTAATTAAAATTAACAATTCAGCATTGTGATTGGATGAAAGTGGGCAATTGCTAGATAGTATACTTAAAAATAAGATTTCCGTTTTTTTATTAATTTGTAAAATAATTAAAATAAGTTAGGGTTAGGTTAGGGTTTAGGTTAGGGTTAGGTTGGGGTTAGGGTGAGGGTTAGTATTAGGGTTAGGGTTTAGTTTTGCGTTAGGATAGTTTTTTCTACGTTATAAAAACGGAAACCTTATTTTGAAGTATACTGATGAAAGTGCTCATGCATGCACTCGCAGCGAGCTGTGAGGAGCTTCGTGCGAGGACTGGAAAACCGCCTTAACTGATGAAAACGCAATGTGAATGATGTTCAGTTAACTGTTTTTGCTGAGAAAACGATCGAAAAATCGTTTATTTCACAATCGTTTATTTTATGTGCTAAAATGTGTAAATTCTTCAGTATTCTATACCGAAATGGCATGTGATAAAAACCAAACATACTTGCAGGTTCGGTGAGTCCGGGATTGGACGCACCTCGGGTGGCTGGAAGTCTCCCGGACCCACCTCGCTTCGCTAGTTCGCTTCCAGCCACCCTCGGTGCATCAAGTATGCTTGTTATAGAACCCGCCACCTGCTGACGTATGTTTAGGAGGGAGGTTCGAGATCGATGTTTCGGCGGCGGCCATTATGAAGAGATTTTAACAAATTTCCGACGAAAATTCAAATAGTTGATATACAACGATTACAAAAGCTTCAAAATAGATGCGCTCGACTGAATTATTATGGACATGGGTAATGAAGTTAATGCCCAAATCGCATTAAATTCGTTAGGATGGGAGACACTAAAAGTACAAAGAACTAAAGCTAAGGCAAAATTAAGGTTCAAAATTTTGAATATGTCTGGGCCTAAAAGCCTAACAGACCTTTTTACCTACAAGAATGAGAATACACATTACTATCTCCGTGACAATGAAACAACACTCGTTTTGCCACAGCCCCGCACAAATAGCATGAAAAAGAGTTTTATGTTTAATGGGGCAAAAAATGGAACTCAGTGCCTAAAGAAATCAGAGGAATTAGGTTCCAGTCTCTATTTGAAAGAAAAATTGCTGCTCATGTTACTAAATAATATATTTATACATACATATATAAATCCTTTATTGTAAATAGTTATCTATATGTTTTGTTAGTTGTCTATATTGTCAATTTTATCAATTGGAACAGTTAGATTATTTCTATTTTCTTTTATTTGATTCCATAAGAGTCATATCATAACAACACTTTACATATCCATCACTATCCATCTATCTATCTATCTATCTATCGATATCTATCTATCTATCTATCTATCTATCTATCTATCTATCTATCTATCTATCTATCTATCTATCTATCTATCTATCTGTACGGTCGAGATAAAAATCGGCCTCTACATGTTTGTTTACTTTGTTAGATCCATCGGTACGTATGTTCAAGATTTAAAATAATATATAATAATATCAGGGACGCCGGAACGATGTGAAAGCAAGGGGGCAGATTTTCGTGAAAGGGTACTTTTGAATTGATATATACTAAGCGATGTTTGCAAAACATCGGGAGTTGAACTGCGCCTAATCAAGTTTTCTATTTATTGGATGATAGGGTATTATTGGATGATAGGGTATGCTATTCTTAAAGCTCAGTGACTGCATTACTTGCGTTTTCTGAAGCAAATTCGTAAAAAATTGCACTAACATTTCTGACAATTCGCTATTTCGCCAAGACAATCATTTAAATTGGAAGGGCACCTTTGCCCCCTTTGCCCTAGCTTCCTGGTAAAGGGCAACGGGGGCGGCTGCCCCTCCTGCCCTCCCAGTTCCGGCGTGCTTGAATATACTGTACAATAAAATCTAACAAACGGAAATCTTAAAAATATATATTGTCTGTAGTATAAAAACATTTACCTGATCAGTCTGAGTCAGATATTGGTTGACAGTAAGGTATACATCCAGAGGTTTCCCAGTATGGACCAACATCGTATGAACTATTACTGTCATCATCAACAATTTCCTTTTCAAACCCAATCAAACTGTCACAAGCATGGCCATCTTCTCTACCAACACTTTCAACATCACTTCCAACATCACTTCCAGCAACATCACTTCAGTCTATTTATATCATCAGTTGTACCATTATCATCACGTACCATCATCACTTTCACAATAATCACTTGCATTGTCATCACGTCCACTATCTTCCTGATCAGCTTCATCCTAACTTCCACTGTCATCACTAGCATTTCCACCAACACCTAAAATGTTGCCTACCATGTGTTTGGTACTGTCATCAAGTAAATTACACCTTGAAGATGTCAAAGCTATTGCGCATTTTCTTTCTCTCTTTCCAAGTTCCTTGATGATTCCCGCGCTTAAATCGTCCTTTGTACATGCCACATTTCGCTTCTTCTTCCTTTTCTTGCTCTTGCTGCTGTTTTGCTTCTTTGAGCGGGACTTCCTTTTTATAGTGGAAAAAGTGTGTTTAAATGCTAAATTGCATGTTTTCTCAAGTTCTTTAGCCCGCGTGCAGGCCCAAGGGAACTGATATTGGGCCTGCAAGGAAGGCCCGGTATTTTGTAAAACACCCCTTTTTATAATAATAACTTGCTGACCGAGGGCAGTACGGGAAAATATCCAACCGAGGTCTTGCTGTATTGACCGACCGATAGCGAGGTCAATACAAAAAGACCGAGGTTGGATATTTTCCCGTACTGCCCGAACGGTTGAGGACAGTAAGTTTTTTATTATATGGCATTGTATGTTTGTAAAAAATGGAAGAAAAGATCACGCGAGGGCAAAGTACAAAGTCCGAAACAGTTTGCAAAACCTGAAAAAAACAATTGTAAAAAATGTTCTTTGGTTAGTAAAACTGCTCTTCAGTACTTTTTATATAGAATACTAATACAGTTTGGATAGTATTTCAAGAAAAATAGAGGTATTTCGTCATTTAAATCAAAGACAACAAACATGAAAACAAGTTCGCTTCATGTCATATTTATGTCTCTTTTTATCTAACAAAAACAGAAATTTTCAGAGAAAAATTATAAATCTGTCGCTGTATTTTTTATTTAGGATGATATCAAATTCCTCCTCATGGCTACCGATCTGCAAATAAAATTTGCAGCTCTTCGCATTGTCAAAATAGACTGCTTTTATAGTTATAAACATTGTAAAATTTACCTTGTAATTTTGACTTTCGCGTTCTTCAACCACAGCAGTTGCTCCTCTTTTTGTTTTAGGTTTATTTTTCTTCGTTTTGAATAGTTTTGAAAGACTTTTAGACACTTTTTTCTGTTTGAAACTCGACTCTCGTCGCAGGGCAAAAACAATTACGTATTGCCCGTGGGCAATACGGGAAAATCCTGCCTCGTCAGCAGCCAATCAAATTGCGCGATTCATCAAAACAAATGCTTGCCATATAATAATAGTCTTTATTAATCAATACTCGAAACACACGTCCGAGTCTCTCTCCTCCGCAGAGGCTTTATAATTGGCTATGAAGGCGCGAAGCCTCTGCACGATTCCACACCCAATATGGCGGTAAACCGGGGGGGGAGGCGTATAATTATCAAACGCAAAATTCAAGTCAAATTCAAAATGACTGAGAAAACTTTTATTTAAATTTATATTCGACATTTGTATTTTTAGAAATGTGTCCAAAACCGCATAAAAGAAAAAAAATGAGTATGTATAGCACACAGAACCATTATTAAATTTATTATCGAGACTGAAAATACAATTCAACTATTTCAACTTCAGCAATATTTATAAACAAACGCGACCTTCAGTCGGTTTCGACCTGATTTATTTGGAGGTTCGTATCTTTGGTTCAATATACGCTATGGGTAGATGAAAATACCACCGTTCGATTCAGTACAAAAATATCTCCTAGTTTCTATCGATAGTTTTAGTGAAATGTCAACACTATATAGCGATTTATGACCTGTGAAAGTCAAGCGGGATTTTGTATATTAATATCTAATCACGCAATGTTTATACTTGATAAAAATATAAACTAGGCATACCTTTCGGCGAACATAACTTCGGCTCCTTGGGACGCATCCTCTTTGTATTACTCTTGTTCGAAAGCGAATTCAAAACACTACTTAAAGTGTTATTTTTGAGCTTGTATCTTGAAAACTTCATCTTTTATTTTGGTATTTCCATTCCTGGTCTGATTGTGAACTAATTCCCGAACATCAGCGTGACAGGCGCGTGCGACTGTGCGTGTAAAAACCCGATATTTTGAAAAATTAAAAATAAATATTTCTACTGGCCGTATTCAAAAGAAATTTTCTACACGAAAGCGCTTGAATACAAGGAGTATTTTACTTCTTTGACTGGTGGCGAATTCCAAAGAGTTCAAGAAATATTCAAGTTTTTCTCGATACGAAATACAGAATGTTTGGCCAAGCGGTGAGTAAAATATACGATTGTTTGCTTTGTGTATTAAATGTTAAAAAATATTACTTTTGACCATCCACAAACATGCAAGCACTAGTCAATGAGGTCAATCAATCATGCATTAAATAATGATTTAATTTTCAAAAAGACGTTTCTTGTTTAGCTTAAAAATCACCTTTTGTTTCGATGTTTACACTTTGTCCCACTTTATCCCACTTTGCGATGCAAATCGTGCAGAGGCTTCGCGCCTTCCTTCGCCTTTCCCTTTGCCGCCTGCGCTCCTTCGCCCAGCGGCTACGCTCGTGTTTCAAGATCCGCCATGTAAAGTGTAGTGAAATGTATCTCATCGTAATACTCATCCTAAGAAAACTAAAGCCTCTGCGAAGGAGAGAGCGTCCGAGTTTACATGGAATTATAAAAATAAAGTATATAGTCTATTTTACGTTTAAGAATATTTTTAGTGTTTAGCGCTTTATAAATTAATAAATTATTATAAATTATTATTAATTATTTACATTCCAAATTTAATAAAACTAGTAAAATTCTACAATATTGTTAAAAATTATTAAAATGTATCATACACTAGATAAAATTGAAAAGACATCTATTTACAAAAGTTTTTTAAATCTTTCAGTTCTTACCAAGAGCGGCTCAACAAAGTCATGTCCCCTTTGCCTTAAAGTTCGATTTAATTTGTTGGGTAAAAGTTCTCTTAGTGCATTATTTCATTTTTGAAAAAGTGGCAAAAATGACAAAAAAGTAAGGCTATACTATAGCCTTTACTTTTCGTCCATTTTTAGCCGATTTTTTCATTTTTGAAAATGAGACAAAACGGTAAGGGGATAAACGCTTGATAGTTCGTTGTTGACACTCAAATTTTTCAGAGAGTGACAAAAATTAAGTATCGAAATCTTTACTTTTTCATCTTTTTTTGCATGTGTGCCAGAAAGTAAAGGCTCAAGCCTTTAATTTTTGGCGACTTAATTTTTTTTTAAGTAAAATTTGGTGATGAGAGATTATGTAGAAATTAGTATAGTTTCTAACGAATGGCTACATCTAGTAGTCGAGTGGTAGTCTCCTGGTGTTGCATTAGGGAGAACTAGGAATCGATCCCTGCTGTAGTAAAAAATATTTTAATGTCAGGCGTCGTTGTTAATTAATTCCACCCGAGATGAGAAAGAGTTAAATAGAAAAAAAGAGTTAAAGCAAGGGTAGGCGAGATGGTCAAGTGCTAAGTGTTGCAAGTGCGTGAAGCCAGGTTCGATTCCTGGTTGTAACAAAAGCATTTTATTGTCAGGCGTCGTTGTTAATTAATTCCACCCAGGGCGGGAATGATTTAAGTATAATAAAAAAGAGTTAAAGCAAGGGTAGGCGAGATGGTCAAGTGGTAAGGACAAGGTGTTGCAAGTGCGTGAAGCCAGGTTCGATTCCTGGTGGTAACAAAAGCATTTTATTGTCAGGCGTCGTTGTTAATTAACTCCACCCAGGGCGGGAATGATTTAAGTATAATAAAAAAGAGTTAAAGCAAGGGTAGGCGAGATGGTCAAGTGGTAAGGACAAGGTGTTGCAAGTGCGTGAAGCCAGGTTCGATTCCTGGTTGTAACAAAAGCATTTTATTGTCAGGCGTCGTTGTTAATTAATTCCACCCAGGGCGGGAATGATTTAAGTATAATAAAAAAGAATTAAAGCAGGTGTAGGCGAGATGCATGGTCTAGAGCTAAGGACAAAGTGTTGCAAGTGGGTGAAGCTAGGATCGATTCCTTGTTGTATCAACATCATTTTGGGCCTCAATTATAGAGCCGAAGAGGAAAGGATTAAATAAAAAAAAACCCATAATCATTTCACCAAGAGTCCTTATGGTCTATAGTGGTACCTTCATCATCAGTATAAGTCAAGTAAGTAAGTAACGAAAGTAAATAAGTAAGTTAAAAACTCCCGAAGAGGTCCTGCATGGAATCATTTAAAGAAGCGTTGATTTTTTATATATGATCTTGAGAATCCCGTATTTTGGTGTCTCATGAGCACGCTCATATATGCTTGTTTCACGTCTTTTTCGATTATTTAGCTGGAAAAAACGTGCTTTTTATGTCCACGGACTGTCTAGTTATGCAAGAACGAGGAATCAACAGAAAGCCTATTCACCGTAGATTCCAAAAATATCATTTCAGACCGTGGTAAATTAAAGTTTTTGCAGATTTGAAAGCGCATATTATTAATTTTCACGTCTTTTTCAATGACACAGCTGGAAAAACTTGCTTTTCATGTGCACGGACTGTCTAGTTATGCAAGAATGAGGCATCGACAGAAAGCCTATTGACAGTAGATTACCGAAATACAATTTTCAGACTGGTGTAAATTCAAGTTTGGGCCTTGGCCTACAGGGCCTTGAAATTCAATAGAACACAAGGTTCGAAACGGCATAATATTAACTTTCACAGTTTTTTCGATTAGACAGCTGGAAAAACCTGCTGTTTACCTCCACGGATAAATCTAGTGATGCACGAGTAAGACATCGACAGAAAGTCTATTGATCATATATTCCAAAAATACAATTTTCAGACTGGTCCAAATTCAAGTCTTTGCTACAGGAGCCTTGAAATTCAATAGAACATAAGGTTCGAAACGGCATAATATTAACTTTCACGTCTTTTTCGATTACACACTACACAGCTGAAAAAACTTGCTTTTTATGTCCAAGTACTGTCTAGTTATGCAAGAATGAGACATCAACAGAAAGCCTATTGACCGTAGATTCCAAAAATACAATTTTCAGACTGGCCCAAATTCAAGTCTCTGCTACAGGAGCCTTGAAATTCAATAAAGCATAAGGTTCGAAAGCTCATAATATTAACTTTCACGTCTTTTTCAAATACACAGTTGGAAAAACTTGCTTTTGATGTGCACAGACTGTCTAGTTATGAAAGAATAAGGCTACAACAGAAAGCCTATTGGCCGTAGATTCCAAAAATACAATTTCCGGACTGGCTCAAGTTCAAGTCTCTGCTACAGGAGCCTTGAAATTCAATAGAACATAAGGTTCGAAACAGCATAACATTAACTTTCACGTTTTTTTTTCGATTAGACAGCTGGAAAAACCTGCCGTTAACTCCACGGACAAGTCGAGTGATGCACGAGTAAGGCATCGACAGAAAGTCTATTGGATCATATATTCCAAAAATACAATTTTCAGACTGGCCCAAATTCAAGTTTCTGCTACAGGAGCCTTGAAAGAACATAAGGTCCGAAACGGCATAATATTAACTTTCACGACTTTTTCGATTACACACTACACAGCTGAAAAAACTTGCTTTTTATGTCCAACTACTGTCTAGTTATGCTTTTATGAGACATCGACAGAAAGCCTATTGACCGTAGATTCCAAAAGTATAATTTTCAGACTGCATGGCGTAAATTCAAGTTTTTGCTACAGAGGCCTTGAAATTCAATAGAATACAAGGTTCGAAACAACAAACATTAACTTTCACGTTTTTTTTTATTATAGACAGTTGGAAAAACCTGCCGTTTACCCCATGGACAAATCTAGTGATGCACGGGTAAGGCATAGACAGAAAGACTATTTAACATAGATTCCAAAAATACCATTTTCAGACTGGTCCAAATTCAAGTCTCTGCTACACGAGCCTTGAAGTTCAATAAAACATAAGGTTCGAAAGCGCATAATATTAACTTTCACGTTTTTTTCGATTAGACAGCTGGAAAACCTGCCGTTTACTCCACGGACAAGTCTAGTGATGGCACGAGTCTTGTCTAGGGATTCTTTTATTAGCATTTGAAAATGGTTGTAACAATTTTGTTTAATTAACTCTAATGTGTCAAACCAAAATGTTAAGTATGATTTTAACTGATGATATCTAATTACCTTTGCTCTAACACTACATTTGATGACAACTTAGTTGGACTGTTGTTTTGAACAGAGTTACAGAAATACAGGACCAAGATTTAATTCAATATCTTCTGAGAACATTAGTTTCTTGTGATATTGTTAATTGGCAATATAATGCCTGCAGCCAGAGTTTTGACTGTTTAAAGAGTCTTTAAAATATTACACAATGATTGTTTTTATACTGTATAAATTTATATAATAAAATATGTGGTATTTGCTACTTACCAGATGAGGATAAGTTTCCATGTTGATAGATAACTTCGGAATAATATCACAAGTAGAATGGTGAAAACAAGACAGCCAATTCGGGATAAAATCAAGATATTTTTGAAGCCAAAATGTGGCAAAGAATAACACGAGGCCAAACTACGCCCGTTCGCAGGTTAGGTGCGAGCACAATGTAAACAATTGATGTAAGCTAATCGCTGATTGGCTTAATTATATAAGCTAGTCGCTGCATGTTTATATCTGCTTCGCAGATACAAAAATAAAGATATACACCGGCACTGTATTGACATATGTTCATACTTGCAAGTTTATTTTCATTATAAAAGTGTATTTTCCCAATTTAGATTGAGTGGGTGGGTCATGAAATAAATTTGGTAAGATTGGATGAGCTTTGAAATTTTTATCTACATCCTAAGATGGGTCACCAAAACTTATTGGCAAAATTTGTGATTTACCTCCAGCCCACCCTAGCAGTTACTTTATGACCAGTCCCTAAGTACTGTATAAGTAGTATGCAAAAAGGACAAATTGATCATGTACAAGGAAGGCGAAAAACAAATAAAAGACGTGGACCGACGGTCGTATGAATTATGAACAAATATAAACGTATGAACAAATATATCTGCTCAAAGGGCAGAAAAACGCCAAACATTAATAACAAATTAAACACCGCACGATACGGGAAAATAAAGGAATACTGTACAGGGTGTATATCTGAATTACTATGCGTATGAACGAGATTTTTCACATTCAGAAAGATCATGCTTGTAGCTGTTGAATGATATCTTCTTCATGCCAAATGGATAAAAAATGAGCAAATACGAATCCGATAAAAAATGTTAGTCAAAATCACATATTTTCACCTATTTTCACCAATGGTCTAAAACCATTGAAAATGAACCCCCTTTGGTACTTAAGTTGATGAATTTCACTTCAATAAACGACGCACATATTCATAATTATTATTAAGTAAGAATAAACCTTAGCTAAGCTACGACACATTCGTAATTAATTGCTTTTTCTTTTGTTATGCATTGTTTTAATTAGACACAGAGGTGAAAATATACGATTTTGACTAACATTTTTGATCGACCTCGTACATGCTTATTTTTCTCCACTTGGTATGAAAAACATTCAATAGCTAAAAGGCCTGACTTTCCGAATATGAAAACCAATTGTACATACGCCGATCGAGTGATTCACGTATAATAGCGCGCTGAAGTTCGATTACCTTTTTTTTATACACCCTGTACATGCAGCAAAAAACACCAAGCATTATTGCAGGCAATTTAATATCAAAAGAAAAATCAACGGAATTTAGAAGATAAAAACGGCCGATAGACCAGTGCCTCGTTGGCAAAACAAAACACGAGCGAAATATAAGTACGGAAAGCAAACAAAAGCCAAATCGAACCACGCTAAAATTGAACGCATAAACAACGAGTCAAGCAAAACGTAATTCACATAAAAGGCAAAACTATATGAATACGAAAGATAGCCAAGAACGGCAGCCAAACGAAACAGCTAACCGGAGGCCATAGGAAAGGCGACCAAGACAGTCACGCCTAGCCTTGTTTTAATCGCTGGAATAAAAGCAATTACACAACAATTAAAAAATAGCAATTACGAAAACGTTGTAAAACGAAACGAAACGTACGCTCGCCAAAATAGGAGGGGCAAGTCAAGCGGACATTGCGGCGATAAAAATCAGTAATAAACAAACAACAAAAGTCAAAACCTCAATTAGCAGCATGTCAGGCTCAGCAGCAACTGGAACATCTTGCTGGGGTTCTTGCAGAATAGCTGCAGCCATTGCAGCAACTAGTGGTTGCGGTATGCGAGTAACCAATGCACTGGCTTGAGCATCAGAGTATCTTGACCATGTGGAAGACATCCCGCTCCACTTCCCTCTTTCGCTCTCTGATCGAACTAATGTATTCACGGATCCGACCTTTTATAGCCTGTGTAAAGCCGGTTTTCCACTTCAAGCGTACCGTACCGAAACGTATCAAAAACGTTTTTAAATTTCAAAATTTCGTAAATGTTGATTGGTTAATACTTCCGTAATACTCCAAAAAGTTGACTTGAGACGAACTTTTATTTTGATACGCGAATACACCCGGAAGTACGTGGATTTATAAACCTCTTTTCAATCTGCGCATGCTCACCAGTACGTTCTGGTACGATACGGGAGAAGTGGAAAACCGGCTTAAGACCGCTGTAGATAGTGTGACAACAGACGCCATTTTGGCACGCTGTATATGAGCAGCCCGCAACCACCTGGAGAAAATAGGGTCGCACGCTCAATCGCGTTGTCGGCAGAAAAAAATAGGGTCGGTCGGGAACCGGAACCACAGGTATTTTTTTACGCCTACTAATCACAGTGCATTTTTTTGTAATCGCAGTGTAATTTTCTGTAATCACAGTGCAAAAATCTGTAACAGATTGATCTGATTGGTGGAAAAACAATGTGATGATAAAATTAACCAATCAGTTTAAAGCAGTTTAGTTCAAAGAAGTAACGGTCACAAATTGCTACAAAACAAAAGAAACATGGCGCTGCGCTGCACAAAGTAAAAGTTGACTTCGGTATGAAAAATATGGCTTTTATCTTTTTTTAATGGAAAAGCCTTTACCTTAAACAAGACTAACAACTTAAATAGTTGAGTGGAATTTTCAGCTGTTAGCGTTGTATACAGTATAATGTGATATAACAAAGCCAGGAAAACTTTGCCAGTGGAGGCGGTTCGCTATAAACGCAAGTTAAAACTACAATTGTCTCGAATATTTTTTATGTAAATTATTAATAAGTAATAGCATGGTTTCACATGAAATTTGGATATGAAACATGCACTCGTGGGTTTTTCAAAGATCTCAAATAGCGCTCGTCCTTCAGACTCGTGCTATTTTGAGATCTTTGAAAAACCCACTCGCGATCGTGCATGTTTGCATGTTATATCCAAATTGCACTCGAAACCATATGCTAATAATTTTAATATTTTTATAATAATTTATAGTAAGTGTGCACGGCCCTTTGACAAACACATACCTGAAAGGCTACCGCGTGAATAAATAAGCTTAAATAATAATAATAAAAAAAACCCAACTATAAAGATACATTGTTTCGCGTTTGGGCCAAGGACAAAGTTCAAGAACACTGCTATAGCCTACCAAATTTCGTATTTAAGTACTGATATTTTAATTTTGTATAGACTATAGTGAATGTAACATACGTTGCCATGATTCCATTAATTTCTTACGAAACGTGGTTATAACTGTATAAGTTATTACGATAATAATTACATAGCTAATTACTCGAGCTCAGCTCGAGTTATAGTTTCGGTCGGGTTTTTTTCTTCGCGCAAGACTAAAGGAGGATTTCCAGTCCTCGCACGAAGCTCCTCGCAGCTCGCTGCGAGTGCATGCATGAGCACTTTCATCCAATCACAATGCTAAACAGTTAATTTTAATTAGATGCAAGCACTCGCAGCGAGGAGCTTCGTGTGAGGACTGGAAAACCGCCTTAAGTCTCCCACGCGGCCACTCTTAATTCTGAACAATCGAAACAAATCGTGAACACATGTGATTATCTTATCCTTCTCAGGTAGATTAATATGGCGTCGAGACGTATGTTGAATGACTCTGTAATTGTCGGGGATTATTTTAGCTCTCCTAAGAAACAAGAGCAAAATAATATCGTCACAATCTCTACACCACGCAGGGCAACTAACCTTATCAAACTCGGTGAGGAATTATTTTGGGAAAGCTCTCTAGAATGCTTAAAGAATTTCGTAAAGGTCGATCTGAATATCGAAGGAAAATGGACGTCCCCGGGTGGCGAGGTGAAGGTCTTTACAACTAAAGATCACGTAATCAAATGGACTGGGAAAAGTACGAGAAAGCTTGTGGTTATGAAAGACGATAGCAAACAAAGTGTGAGTAAAAAGCTGGAAAGACGAGTTATATTGAGCGAAGACAAAGGTGCCGAAGCAAAAGACCAGAACGACATGCATCACTACGAATTGGATAATGCGAATAAAAACGAAATCATCGATAACTTCCTAATAGTTGATGAAAGCCAAAGAAACGAATTCAGTACGGGTCAACACCAAAACGAATTTTAAAAGACGGTGTAGTTCTGAAATATCAACTCAGTGTGATGCAGATATAAAACCATGCCATTGTACTGAATTTGCCGAACAATTCAAGCGCATCGAGAGAGATATTGAAAGTCTAATAAACAGACTAGAAATTGATGAGGGAGAAGAAATTGTGTTGGCCTGTAATACTGGCACATGTCTAAAGGAAAAGGTTCAACTAAGAAATAATCTGGAAAGTGCTAACGCAAAAATTTAGTCCTAAACTTACTGCTAAACTGTTAAAAATATTCTCTCAAAAAAATTAAACGCACCCCACACACACAACCCTAACTCCCAGCCTAGTCCCAGTCGATCTGAAGCAAGAAAAAAGTGGATGTAGTACGAGACTGGGACCTAGGTGTGACGTCACCGCTCAAGGTGCTTCAGAACCATAGATATAGGAGATCTAGATTGCTAACGCATACCTAGCGCAGGCGGGGCCTACATGATAAATCCAAGATGGCGGTACAAGAGGGCAAAAAGACTATAGATTCTATTACGAAAATCAAGATTTTTGCATTTTTTGCCGTCGCATTGTTTTGAAACTTATTCGGTCAAATTTTATGGTAAAGAGAAACTTACCGCGAAGATTTTGAGCATATATATGATTGAATTGGATGAAAACTCGCAAAATTATCCAGCGATAAAAGTTCGTGTATAGTACTGATATAGTACTATATATGTAACTTGTACAGTTTTGCTTTAATTTTTGCTCACTATTTGCATAGAAAGCAAATTATAACAGACCATAGATGATAGACCCTTATCCAGTGCTCTCATCAGTTTACTTCTCTAACAAGCAAGGAGGGGGTGGGGGGTGGGGGGTACATAACAGTTCATTTTTCATAATTATGAGGACAGAGCAGATGATGATGAAAGATGCAAGTATAAAACACCATTCACAAGACTAGATGTTAACATAGCACAGTATTTCTGGCAATAAAACGCCTCCAACTGACCATTTCACACGAACTTTTATCGCTGGATAATTTTGCGAGTTTTCATCCAATTCAATCATATATATGCTCAAAATCTTCGCGGTAAGTTTCTCTTTACCATAAAATTTGACCGAATAAGTTTCAAAACAATGCGACGGCAAAAAATGCAAAAATCTTGATTTTCGTAATAGAATCTATAGTCTTTTTGCCCTCTTGTACCGCCATCTTGGATTTATCATGTAGGCCCCGCCTGCGCTAGGTATGCGTTAGCAATCTAGATCTCCTATATCTATGTTCAGAACGCCTAGCAGATTTCAGTATTTTTAATATGGCGAAAAATATATATATACAAGTAACCTTTTAATTATAAATACGACAATGTTCGTTCATCACGTACATGTTCGATGTCTACATAACCAAATCAAACCGTATTAAAAATGTGCTCAACTAAAAAAATTTATATACAAATTTACGATACCAAGTTTGAGCAATCGATGTTATTTATATACTCGTAAGTTGTGATCAACACTAGACCATACTGGTATACACAACTACGCTTTCTACTTGACAGGTTTAAATTGCTGAGGAGATTGGAAATATTTGCCTGACAAGACGATGTTGTCAATACATTTTTAGTCGGAGACTCGGCATAATTTTCAAGCTTCTAGATAGCATTTAATATGGCTAAATATTTTAGTAAACACGAGTCATATTTAGCCTGTTATTCCATTCTGACCGTATGGCAGCGAAACGTAGCCTATTTCATTGTTCTGACAGCATTAGAGCAAAACTAATGACTTAATTATAAATGCAAAGGAAATTTCCATAACATTTTCCATTTACAAATGAGGTACGCTTGGTAACCAGGCCAGGGACCACTTTCTTGAAATCAGGGACCATTTTACCGAAATCTGCTAGGCTCTCTCGCTGAAGCGTTCCGCACAGCAGACCCAGGCATAATACTTTTAAGACTTATTTAAATATATCAAAGCAGCGAATAGAGAGAGAGCCTGGGACTAGGCTGCCTAACTCCTACTCCTAAGACCTTACCTTAAAATCAGACAAAAAAAATTTTAATTTGAAAATATAAAACTGTGTCATACGGGATTTGAACTGCAAGAACCACGCATCGAAAGCGGCGCCTAAACCACTGCGCCACAAAGTAGCCCGCTCGATTTATTGGTGAATAATGCACTTTAAAGGAGTACCATGTAAGATATTAAATGTAGTAAATTTTGATGTCAATCATTGATCTGAAAACGCTGAATACGATATTTTGCAATTTGCAAATCCTGTAGCTCGAGTAAACGCTTAGCAAGCGTCTTGTTGTTTTCTAGTTTCTACATATATAAGTACGCGCGTTCATAACCTGTTACGTGTTGACTATGGCTATGCGTTTGATTTCAACAGAGTTTTCTTATTCGCGCGGTGGATCAATTATCTAGTAAATTTTAGAGGCCATATAGGTGATAGTTTAGTTACTGTATAAGTACTTTTATAATAATCAATTTAGTCACTAAATTAGTTTGTAATTTCAGTTGTCCAATGTCGATATTAAACGCCATTCTTACTGGCCGGGTTCTTTCATGAAACATTCCAATGAATCATCCATCGCTTTCATAAATGGCGTGTGGTGGACAGGTGATTTCGTGCCAGAAAACTTGCTTGTGAAAGGATGATCGCGGTATGTAGCGATTTCCTCCGCCTTGTAATTCTCCCAAGCGTGAAAGAGAGAAGCGACGTCTAAATCGTAGCCGTAGTCAGCATCTTTGTCAATATCCGCTACAACATCGGTTTGGAAATCGATGTCGTCATGACAACCTTTCAAAGATTGGTTTCTGAAATGTATATATTTAGTATATTATTCCTTCCAAACACTCGGCAATAAAAACGCAAACATTTCAGCATTGCACGAATACACGTGCTGCACGCGTCTTCTCTCTATTCATTTCAAAACAGGATCATTTTATTGAATTTGAGTCATAACTCTATACTTTTTCTGTACTAGTTTCGTATTTTCAAGTTTGAGGCAGTAATAAGAATGTCTGATTGACTGATCTGGTAAACTCAGAGATCCAGAACATCGGGGAAAATTGCGCAAAATGCAACTTTGGCTTCCTAAGAGAGAGTATAAATTTTTTGTAAAATTGTTATTCAGATATCTTTGCCATCCCCCTCCCCCCCCCCGTACGTCACGTAGTTGACTTCAGGGGGGGGGGGTGTTCGTCTTAAAGCCTAACCTCCCCCAATCTCGTAACCAGGGGCTATACGAGATTAACCTCCCCCAGCATTTACGCCAAAATCCACGTCCATCCTTGCATGCCGCATTTTTAACATCTTTATTATTCAAAAGGTATATTACACGTAAATTTCGTAAAAAAGTCATTTTCATCTGAAACGGAAATTTTGTTTTCAGCAGAAGTATACGGCTTTTTTTATTGATAGAATAAGGAAATATAGACTAAAGAACCAGTTTTCCATTAGGCGGAATTTTGTGTGCGGAGCGGAATTTTTCTTTGTCTTTTCTAATTAGCTCCACCCGAGAAATCAGAAAGACAGACTCATTTGAGGGAGGTATGGTATGTGATTTATATAAATTGTGCACTGAAATGATCTAAAAATGACAGGATATCCACTATACCAACACTCCATCCATTTTAAAGCTACACTGATTGTGACTTATGACTTCATTTATAATGACGACTAGACTTTCTTATAATGATGTCAGACGCGGAAAAACACTTTATTTTGCGATGTTCCAAGGGACAATTCACAATGTAAATGATGTTTTTACGAGATTTATTGGCTCGCCAACGATATATTGTCATGAGGGAAACGCATATATATATATATATATATATATATATATATATATATATATATATATATATATATATATATATATATATATATATATATATATATATATATGCGCAAGCAGAAAGATGTTGTCTGCCGCGGCTTGGTCTCGAACCCGCGACCTTCGAATTACTAGATCGACGCTCTACCTACTAAGCTACACGGTCAGACGGATTTAAGAGTCAGACGTCAGACGGATTTCATAATTTCCAGTTTTAAATCCGTCTGACCGTGTAGCTCAGTAGGTAGAGCGTCGATCTAGTAATTCGAAGGTCGCGGGTTCGAGATCAAGCCGCGGCAGACAATATCTTTCTGCTTGCGCTGGGTATGGAAATTATATAATTACACACTCTAGAACATTTTCATCTTAATATATATATATATATATATATATATATATATATATATATATATATATATATATATATATATATATATATATATATATATATATATATATATATATATATATATATTTCTTAATAAGACAATATTTCTTAATAAGACAATATTTCTTAATAAGACAATATTTATAATATATGCACCTTGTCAATATTTTACGCATCTTTGCGTTCAGTTTAGTACTATAAAACATAAAGGATATAATATTAAAGCTAGAATATTTTTATATACCTGCACACCCATTTCTTAACGTCTTCCTCCATGGCAGCTTGACTTGGCAGTGTGATCTCGCCCATGATGTACTTTACACACCATTTTGCTTGGATATCAAACAATGTGTATGTGTAGTACTGATCTTGCGCTGCCAGATACATCAACCTCTTGTTTCCACCTTTTATCCACAGAGTATTCTTATACAGACCATCGGGGAACAGCACATTGCCGGTTTTCAGCTGTAAACTGGCATCCTTCAGAAATGGATACGAGTAAAGGTAGCCGGTGCATAAGATAATCGCATCCACTTCAGCTGTGCTTCCATCTTTAAAATGAACCGTATTTCCATCGACTTTGACCAACAGAGGTCGTTCAGATACGTTATCAGGCCACTTGAAGCCCAGCGGTCGAGTGCGGTAAGTGCAAATGATATTACCAGCTCCATACTTCGTCAATTGTAGAGCAAGATCTTCTGCAGAGTAACTTGCACCAATCAGTAGTACACGCTTGTCCTTGAACTCTCGTGCATCACGGAAATTATGAGAGTGCATAACTCGGCCAGGGAACTTGTTTAGCCCAGGAAAATCAGGCAGGTGTGGCACAGAGAAGTGACCAGTAGCAACGATGACGTAATCAAAAGTTTGGGCGGGAAGATATCGATCGTTCACCAAGTCCTTCACCTGCACAGTGAAGTTATCAGAGGCAGCATTGTATTGTACATCGTGTACTTTGTGATTCAAATTTACCCATGAACGAATATCGGCTTTTGTCCAACGACCTGATAAAATTAAAGGAATTCGTATTAAAAACTGCAAAGCCAGCAATATTCCACTATGCAGTGCTCAATATACTGTATATAATGCGCTTTTCACACGAGCTTGGACGCCATTACAGTAAGTTTGTTGTCATTGTCGAAATCCTGAAGGAAACGTTTTAGTATCATGCAAGAAATCAGTTGTAAATGATAACCTTAGGGGCTGTTCACGGATAACATAGGGCGTGAAAAAATGCTACACCAAATCATATGTGAGAATAAACGATTTATTCTGTCTATTTGATAATTTTTGTCCCGGGTAAGTAAATCATAAGCATTATTTTCTTGAACCTTTTGCACGTGTTATTGTTTTTAACAATAATAGGAATGTAGTCGCATTCCTGCATGATTTTACACAAAAACACACGTGTGTGACACACGTTTTTTCGGGCGACAGGAAGCATCCACGGTTTTGATAATACACATATTCAGAGTAACTGACTGGCTGACTGCCTAACCGAACGATTGACCAACCGGCAGAAACACATTGTATATACAACAATCACCAAGAACCTTGACACTGGCAAAAGACTGACCTTTGAGGTAGTCGCGCAGTACTTCTCTGGGTGGAAAGGAGGCAATTGGTTTACCAAAATGTTCTTCAAACGTGTAGTCAGGATATTCCAAAGCTTCTTTCGGACCATTAGACCACAAGTTGCGATACATACTGTTGTGAACCACCTCACCAAATTCATCAGTTCCTTAAAGTATCACGACATGATGTAAGAAGCATGCATATGAATGTTATAACATGATATAAGAAGAAAGGCATAATATAGTTTGTAGGAAAATTCTCCATTACTACTGGTAAAATCATGGGCGGGGGGGGGGGGGGTTAAGGGTTAAACCCCCTAGAATCTCTCTAACCCCTCTAATAAAGTGTTCAACCCCACCAAAATTTCGCTTCACTCCTCCTATTTTGTTGGAAAGGCTTTAACCCAAACGCCTAACCCCTGCTGAAGCTCACTGAATGGTGTCGCTTCCACCCCACCAGAAATTGTTCTACCCCTTTTTTTAAATAAATGAAAATCCGCCCTTGGGTAAAATAGGGCAAACCTAATAATAATAATAATAATAACCTTAACCTTAATACGGGCGAAAAATGTTTTTAAAATCTCGTATACAAACATAATTATCAATGGCATTATTAGCCATTTTAAGACAACAGACAGGTTTCAGGATCATCTGCATTACTGGTCTATTTTCACACTTTTTTCACATTTCAAAACGTGACGTGTACTCTAACTGGTTTCTTCCACTGAGTTACTGGAGGAGGTGCTCCTATCTCTCGTCAGTCAAAAAAGTGTCGCCCAAAAACATGGCGGATTTTCATGTTTGCTGACGCCAATTGGTTCCTCCGGCCCATGGCGATTACCACTGACCAACCGCGATCCTACGCTTGAAATAAAATCCTTCACCCCCCTGGTTTTTGAACAAATTTTGATAATAATTTTCGAGTTTCGACTGAAAATCTCGATAGTTTTGCAGTCGAGAAACGATAAGACAATTCGATAAGACAATTCGACGAACAAATAATCAACATAATCAGCGCATCGAAAGAGAAAAACGTCGATGAACTTGTAACGCAAGAAATTGACGAATCAGACAACGCGATAGCGGAACTGGAAAGAGTATTACTCGAGCTCGATGATGAATTATGTAAATTGAGACAAAGCACGCCATTGTCAATGTCGACAACGCAGATATACATTATATATACATTATATATATATATATATATATATATATATATATATATATATATATATATATATATATATATATATATATATATATATATATATATAGATATATATATATATATAGATATATATATATAGATAATATGTACCGGGTGTCCCAAAAAAAAGTACTCCGGTTTGATTTATAATAACTTCTAAACAAGTAAAGCTATCAAACAGAAATAACTTGCATTAAATAGAGGAAGGACTAACTTAGATTTTGATATATTACAGTTGTATTTTACTTAACAATTCACGGAGATATTAATGTTCAAAATCGGGAGCATATTTTTGAATGTGTCTAAAATTAGCGAAAATCGGCATATCAAATATTAACTTCAGCGTTTGTTAGCTTGATGACATATCAGGCTAACTTGTATT